CTCCCAGCTGCTGGGGGATCTGCCCCCTCCCACCTCAGCCCAGTGGCGCCTGCACACTGACTGCCCTGCCTCTGCCATGGCCCACTCCTCCCTGCGCTGCTCCCCTTTGGGCATGTGCACCAAGTCCTCCGTGTGAAGAATCCGCCAATGCTCAGATGGAAAATGAGCCACTGGCTGGAGTGGGGCTGCGGCTCAGGAGTGAGGGGAACCGGCAGGGCTGGGGGTGCTGTGGGTCGGGAGTGAGGGGCACCGGGAGGGTAAACAGCCTTACCGATACAGACCCTGTTTCCAAAGGCAGGAAACACAGCAGCTTCCTCTGCCTTCCCGGGCGAGGAGCCCCTTGGATGGTGTTCTACACACAGGGCGTACTGTGCGAATTAAAAACAAATCTCATCAGGGGATAAGGCACAACACTGTGTTTATTAAAATATAAAACAGAGACAGAAAGCAAGGTTATCCGCTTCATTCGCTCATACATACATACCTGTTCATTCATACATTCGTACGAAAGAAACAAACACACAGACCGTCCTCCCGGTGCCCGTGAGTAAGGTGAAGGTGTTACCAAGTCTCAAGTTGCTGGGAGTAGTTTGGCGGCCAGCCAGACTGACCACAAGGGATGGAGTCAGGTCTTTTTGGACACACCTGACACTCCTCTTTGCAGGCAGACAAATCTGAAGCTTTGTTGTTCTCACCCATTTCTACAATCATACTTCTTCATACAGGTCTGTGGATCCCGCGAAGTCAGACAAAGATCATCCCTTCGGCCCTGTTGGCAGGTTGCGATTGTAGGGTGATTCCTTCTTGCTCTGTGTTCTGCCCTCTTCAGCCTTTGAAGTTCTTAGACTGGTTTTGCAAGCTTCTTTCATACATCAGTTCTGTAGCTTCTTTGTAGACTTGTTTTTCAATGCTTTGGCTCCTGGAAGTCACAGAATTCCCATCGCATTCAAACAGAAACAGCCAATATGCAGAATTCATCACATACATACCAGACACGCTGCAGGCCTTGCATAAGCATTATTTTTTTGTATACTAGATTTACGCTATAAAATCATGAGACCAAAAGGTTGGGTAAACTTATGCTGAGCAATAGGGGATTTAAAAATGGACAGCTAACCTTATGGTTATTTAATATCGGATATAAAATTGTAATAATTGATTAAAACATCATGAAAAATAAATCCTAGAAAGGTTAACCTTATCTTAATAGCTAAATAGTTCATTATAAAAATAGCAATAAAAAGCAATTAGCAGCATAAAGTAATTATAGCTGTTGTAATACAATGTACTTGCATTGCCAGCTTCCTCTTTTTAGCCCCTTATCAAGGTCCCTCTTGAGCCAACATTCACATTTCTATTTTTCGCCTGACACAGATTGGAAACACAAAATGCAGCAAGATTACTTCAGCTGCTGCCTCAGTAAGTGGAGGAAGGAGCCGCTCAGGTCTGGGTGGCAGGGGGCTGCAGGGCTGTGGTGGCAGGGAGGAGGGCCTGGGCCAGAGGAGGAGATGGAGGTGAGGGGGCTCCAGTGTGTCCAGCAGCTGTTGGGGGCGGGGTGTCCCTGGCGCCGGCCCCG